AAACCTACCCGACCTACCTCCCCCACATGCCTAATAAGAGCTGATTAGGCCTAGGCCTATTTGGTTTCAAAACTAATTGATTTCATTCCGCTATTAAGTCGAGTATAAGCAGCTGTTTGCTTTCCTCACTCAGTCCTCAGTCCACATTAGGACCCGTCCAGACCACGCTATATTAGCCAACCATCAGTAACTTACCGCTCAATGAACCTTAGATTCGTAATTTTAACCTTCGTTTTACAGCCACTTCTCTCCGAAACTGATTGCATTTTTGGATTCAGCGTGAAAAAAATGTAAGTTAAGTTGACATAAAAAATTAGGTACCGTACATGATATTGCGTTATAGATGTATAAATAATTGCCAAGAGCTGATTTAATCTTATCGTTCTGAACAATTATTAGTTCAGAACGAATTGATTGTATTTCGCATTAAGTCGGGGAAAATTTACTGTTTGCACTTCTCAGTTCACATAGGTCTACAGACCCATCCAGGGGTACACTTCCATATCCGTTGGCACAAACAACAGAATTAGTATATAGGCTAGATTATTCGATTGTTTATCCTTAATTCAATATATTGTTTGGTTAGTTAGGTTAGCTTAAGTAACGTTACCTAACTAACCAAATGATATATTGATAATCGATAAGCCCTATATCGATAGTTATTTTCATTCGGTTGTTTGTGCCAATACTTGGATATGGAAGTGTGTACCCCCTGATCCCCATCCAGACCACCACAATATAGGGTAAATTACACTCAGTAGGCCAAAATTAACTTACTGCTCAATGAACCTTAAAATTGTAATTTCAACCGTTTAGTTTTACAGCCACTTAAGAATCTCTCCAACAAAAACTGACATTGTAGACTAGATATGGAATTTATTCCGTATAGGTGCCTCCAAACTAATTTTTAATTTTGTTATCTTACTTTTTATTTTTTTACCTCCTGAATCCAAATATAACTTACCATTAATTTTCACCACTGATGAATATTTATCTGATGATATTGTCGTAATAATATACAACATTACAATAAACAAGATAGGATGGATGATATTCACAAGTGGAATAAACTGTAGGTTAACTAAGCCTTAAGCCTACTTACAGCTGATTGTTTTCAACCAACCACACGACAAGAACTGGAAGTAACAACTTTTGAACTTCATTAACTCACTCTGATTCTGTCGCCGGCAATATGCCTATACTAGTGACGTCATTTTACTTCACTACTAAATAAAATACAAAACAAAAATACTCATTTATACTCATACGTGTTGCGTAGTGCTATTCTGCTACTCCGTCTCCGTCACAAGTTACATTATAACCTAAACTTTAACTTACGATCTAAGTTAACCTACCTTCAAAGGACTTGAAATGCAGCCACCAATTCACATAAAGCATGACCTACCACCCTGACATGCCTTTTCTTACATATCAAAAGGAGTTTGCTTACATTCTAGAGGTTTGGTTGGGTTAGAGCACCATTTAATTATGTAATTTTTAAACGGTGAAATAGCCTATAGGGTCATTCCATATCAAATCAACAAGGCTCTCAACCTGACCATCTTGGATTTTGATGAAATTTTGCATACTTGTAGTATTTTGAGTCCTGAATCCAAATATGCTTTTTAAAAAAATCTATCTTTTATAGTTTTTATGATATAAATATTTGAAAATGGTAAAAATTGGCGTTTTTTACCGTGCGCGCAAATCTAAAATGTTGTCTAGGATGAGTTCTATTGGTCCTATCAAGTTGTACAATGGCTCATTTTAAAGAGGATTCAAATGCCTTTAATCTGATACCAAACTCAACCTACTTTGGTAAAAATTAATTTTTTTTGAAAATTTCAAAATATGTTTTTGAAAAAAAATTTAAGATAGTGTTTTTTGAAAAATTTGAAAATTAGATATGTTAAAGAATGTAATCTAGTAAGTACATTATAAAAATTTCAAAATGGGATGATGATGGGATCAGCAGTTATGATAAAAATACTTGACTATGGTTCACTGTTTCCAAGCGTTTTGGCGCATACAGCGTGTAAGTACTAACCTAAATGTATCTTTAAATAAGAGTCTATTAATTATATGATTAAAATTAAAAATATCTGCCTATATTTGAACTGTGTATGTCATATTTTGCTATAATATAAACTAAATCTAGCAAATAAACAACATTATTCAAGTTAACAGAGTTTCCGTCAACCTTTGAACATGGGGGCTACTTTGAACAAACTTTCCACTTTTCATATTTGATTTTTTTTCATATTAATTTTATCTTTAAATGATAATGTTTATTATAATTTTCTATTCCCAGATAAATACTCTACTTAAAAAAAATATATAATAGTGCATACTATGGTTCTACAAAAAATTGAAAATACTTATTTTTCACTGAAATTTTTTAGTAAAAAAAAGTCGTCCAAAGTTCCATGTCTACAGCAAACCCAGTAAGTTTATGATTTATGACTTAAAACCATAATTGAATAATAACTTAAAAAAAGAAAGAAAAAATTACCCAATTTGCTGACCCTTACTTATGGCGTCGCGACCCTTAGTTCTGGAGCAAAATTTCCCGGACATGAAAAAAAAAATACTTGGGTTTTAAGTGTTATTTTTTTAAATGATTTTTCTAATGAAAACAGATGTTTTGAGCTTTAGTTATTATTAGCAGCCATAATTTAATTCCTTTATTTGACTGCTATGATATTTAAAAAATACCCTTGCAAAGTTAAAAATTAACCGGACGGACATTTTGAAAATTCTCCGTAACTTTTTTTAATTTTTGACATATCAAAATAGAAGTTATACAGAAATGTGGTATGTGGTTTGTGGTATTTAAATCCACAAATCAGTTTTCACTAAAAAATTTTAATTGTTAAAGTAAGAATACATTATTTATACTTATGAGCAGACATTTCCCCAAAACTAAATAATTAGGCTATCATGGAATATTATCTATGTATCAATAATAAGGTTACTACAGGATTTAAATAGATTGATCACAGTAGCCTATATTGTGTGACAAAATTATCAATGCTTGTTTGTCTCTCTCTCTTGTCACAAGAGGAAAGACAGACAAACATGGACCTATGGGTTTTGGCTCAGGTTCCTCAGTATTTTCCAGTTGTACCTCGGCAGTAGCGACCCGGTCTTGAGAAGTTGTAATTTGTTTGACAGGTACACAGGTCTAACTTATGTTTGTCAGTCTTTCCTCTTGTCTCAAGACCGAGTCGATACAGCCGAGATGGGTCGCTGCAACCTGATAGTGTAAACGTAAAGTGCTTCACAATGTGATTTTGCACAGATATAGTGGCTGACTAGTGTCTCCAGCCTAGTGAAAAGGCAGACTTAAAGATTGATTACAGTAAATCGTTGCAACACAACTAACTGGAAAAGACTGAGGAACCTGAACCAAAACCCATTGGTCCATGTTTGTTCAAAGGTTGACGGAAACTCTGTTAACTTGAATAATGTTGTTTACTTGCTAGATTTAGTTTATATATAGCAAAATATGACATACATAATTCAAATATAGGCAGATATTTTTAATTTTAATCATATAATTAATAGACTCTTATTTAATGATACATTTAGGTTAGTACTTACACGCTGTAAGCGCCAAAATGCTTGGAAACGGTGAACCATAGTCAAGTATTTTTATCATAACAGCTGATCCCATCATCATCCCATTTTGAAATTTTTATAATGTACTTACTAGATTACATTCTTTAACATATCTAATTTTCAAATTTTTCAAAAAACACTATCTTAAATTTTTTTTCAAAAACATATTTTGAAATCTTAAAAAAAAATTAATTTTTACCAAAGTAGGTTGAGTTTGGTATCAGATTAAAGGCATTTGAATCCTCTTTAAAATGAGCCATTGTACAACTTGATAGGACCAATAGAACTCATCCTAGACAACATTTTAGATTTGCGCGCACGGTAAAAAACGCCAATTTTTACCATTTTCAAATATTTATAGGCTATCATAAAAACTATAAAAGATAGATTTCTTTAAAAAGCATATTTGGATTCAGGACTCAAAATACTACAAGTATGCAAAATTTCATCAAAATCCAAGATGGTCAGGTTGAAAATAATTTTTTATTGGTTGATTTTATATGGAATGACCCTATAAATCAATAATAAGAATAAAATACTGGTAACAATACTTCATACATTTTATTAAATGTGTTAACTTATTGGTCTTAGAAAGTGTAAAGTGTAACTTAATCAGGTGATTTTCATATTGCAGAATCAGAGGTTTAGCTAATAAAGTTGTCACTTCCATTTGCTTGACTATGATTGAAAACAATCAGCTATTGGCTTACTTAACCCATAGCTCATTCCACTTGTAAATGTCATCCATCCTACCTTGTTTATTGTAATTTTGTATATTATTATGGCGATATCATGAGAAATATTCATCAGCGGTGAAAACTAATGGAATATTTAGATTCAGGAGGTAAAAAACTATAAAGATATCAAAATTAAAAATTCGTTTGGAGGCACCTGTACGGAATAATTAGGCCTACCCTAGATACAAAATAATTGTTCCTTTCTTATCCACCCTTTAAATAACAGTAGGTAGCCTAAGTTAAGTAAGGCTAAGTTTGAATATTTTCTTAGCCATTAATTTTATGGCCCAATTGAGCATCGAATCAGGTGACCCTTCCACTGCGTTTCATGTTCTCGCTCAAGTTATTTGTCCATCCCTATCAAAGTTCACTTTGTCATTAATACGCTGTATGCTAGGCCAAGGTTAGGCTTGAGCAGCTTCATCACCCTCTAAATAATTCACCAAGATTTAAGAAAGTTTGTAGGCTAGCCTACTTAGGCCTATCCAAATTATCGAGGTTTGCCATACAAGTTAAATACTAATTAACTCAGGCCTTCCCAATCATGCAAATCCCAATTAAAACTTAATCTAGGCCTATGTAAGTTAGCCTACCGTAAACTTACACTTAGGTTATCCTAATTCAAAACGAAATGGATCTTACCTCATTAAAAGCCATCCTTCTCTATTATGATTGTAGTTTCAGAAGATGATTGACATAACACAACTTATCACTTTACACAACCAAGAACACAAGCCTAGCCAATTTTAAGATACAATAACCTGTACCTGTACCCTTTTTATAACTGCGGTATTAAGTTAACTTAAGTATGACAAATCAGGCCTTGACTTGCATATCAATTTGAAACCGAATTCATTTTCACTTAGGCTATGTGACGTGCAAACGTAAACTTCCTATATTATTACGATAAATTCACTTTTCCATCACTAAAACTGTATAACACTCAATATTATATTCCTCAGGTGGGATGTTGGAGACTGAACGGTAATCACAGGTGAGCTGACTTCCACTTATCGATAACCCAGAATAACGATAGGGTAATCCACACACGATAACACCTTTCGTTAAAGTTAACTAAATAAACAAATTATTTAAACTAAATATTTCTGGGAAATATTCAAAATAAACACAAACCAATGAAAACAAATAAAGAGACACTAGATACGCACTCACGGCAAGGCGCCATTTTGGCACTACACCTGTTTCAAGTTTCATTCAGTGATGCAGTATGTATCCTGTGGTAAAAAAAAACTAAAGACGTGGCTTGACTAACAAATTGAATTTATTGGATTACTACAAAATATGATTTAGACTTTAAGAAAATAGAGCTAAAGGTGTTCAAGGAAACAACTAATTTGTTAATAATTTCTTATTGTATCAATAGTAGGAATTATCTAATGAAATGAGTTCAGTGTATTCAGCCTTTTTTTAATTCATGTTTTTTTTTTTTTTTATGTGAAGGTTGGTAGCATTGGTAGTGGCACATACATTCTATTGGTTGATGTGCAAGGCCATTACATTTGAAATATTAATATGATATATATGAAAATTAAAAACATTCTTAAGAGAAAAGAACAATTGATTATTCATATTTTTCGAACCTAGATCAGATGATCAGATAATCCATACATTTACGTTTTATCTCCTAATTGAGCGGAGCGAAGCGAAGCTCTTTGGGATCAACTTCAATACAATCTTTATAACACGTTATTGGAAGTGGTGAAGGAAGTAGTAAAGACTAGCAGTGCTGGCAGGGTGTGGGCACGTTATAGGGCAGTTATATTAATGTATCTAAAATATTAAAATGCTATGGGAAGGGAGGGAAACAGGTCCAAGACGTAGGAAAGTGGTGAATGAAGTAGTAAAAGCCAGCAGTGCGGTGTGTGGGAACCGTCTGTGGCAGTTAGATTAATGTATCTGCAATCTTAAAATACTCTATGAAGGGAAGGAAACAGGTCCACGTAGGAAGTGGTGAAGGAAGTAGCAAAGGCTCTAGGAGGTGTTGAGTGTAAGGGAACCGTTTGTGGCAGAGGGGGGGGGGGGGTTAAATTCACAAAAACGCCTAAGTGGAGTGGAGGTCCCTTACTTGATATTTCTTGGTAATAATATTACAATAATATATATTGTTACTCCAGATTCCAGTTGCAAAGGTGGGCTCTTTTTGCTGGCCACAGTATAGAGTCTATTTCGTGTATTGTGAATTGTGATGAACTATTTAAGTCAGAACATCTTCTTTATGAAATTATGCTATGAAAATCAGCCAAAATATACAGTAACTATTCTTATGGAGGATTTCCTTCAAGACTAGCTTCTGTAGCCTTAGCCTACATCAGATAAATAACATTATTTGTTATTTATAATTACAACTAATGTGACTGTCATCCCACTTAAGATATGTGGAGCCCTCTTCTTGATGACCCATTCACAAATCAGGAATGATATCAATTGAAAAGAATCAATAAATCAAAATCTACATTAAAGGTTGGGTCTCGTTGGGATTCCATAGTTAGATACTGTAGTAACAATGTTAGGTACCTACATAAGGGTTCCAATAGACATCTCTACATCAATCTCTTTGTTAATCATACCCTTGTATTTGAGATACACCTACTAAACTGCAGCTTTTATCTTTCACCAAATTGTATAGATTCACCCAGTACCAATCACTTTCTGACTCTTTTTATCTCCAAGAAGAAAGTTATCAGAAGAACATGGCCAGTATAGTGTAGTCGTATTCTAGCATGTTTTGGAAATATACTTGTGAAGAGCAAGGAACAGCCAGAGCCGCAAGCACATCGTGGAAATTCCTATCACTTCCTATACACAGGGTCTTCCTCCACCATGAACACTGTAGTACATGAAGTCGAGGAGAGTGGAATTGGACTTTGCCCTAGACACTTACATTACTTACTTGATATTTGGTGATCTCCCCCAAACACAGCTGCACCGTGGTCGTCAATTTATGGCCTATTTTTCCTACAGATATTCTTCAAAAGAATAATATGGCCTCTTTAGTAAATATAATCTTTGAATTTCCTCTTGAATTAATTTTTATCTTCAATGTTTTTTTATATTTAAGGGGACTGGGGACCGAGTTGTAGATTTTGCTTGATAAAAACTTTGGCCCATCTTTTACTAAACTTGAATTGATTTGATCTAGATATATGTTGTTTTTTTGCCTCGATGAGTAGTTGTGTATTTGTATTGTTTTGAGGAAACGTGTTCGGGTTCTTCTTAACTATGAGGGCAGATTCCAAAATAAATATTGAAAAAAAAAATAAATAAATAAAATAAATAAATAAATAAAATAAATAAATAAAATAAATAAATAAAATAAATAAATAAAATAAATAAAATAAAATAAATAAATAAATAAATAAACAAAATAAATAAATAAATAAAATAAATAAATAAAATAAATACTGGCACTGTAAGGACTTTTTCTTCAACAAAAATGGTTTTACAACGGGCAAGGTATAGCATTATAAAATGGTTCTTATTATTCTTTTGAAGACACCAATGAATATTTAGGGCTAGAGACTCCAGTTAAACTAGGTATACTGTGTTACCTTACTTCTCATTGGAACAAATAGAACTAGTAGGTTAAATTTCTTAAAAGCTTAGTTTAATCTTTTCAGTTTACAATTCAAAGGCTTGTGTTTTTGTCATTTCAACACTTTACAAATACCAACGAAACTACAAGAACATTTTAGAACTGATGAATCACAATTTAGGTTGTGAATCATGAGTTATGGCAAAATATTAGTCTAGTTTTAAGACAATATTGTTTTACCACACACTATTGTTGTATATGAGTTTATTTCAGTTTTCATAAGCTTGTTGTGACCTCCTGTGTACATAGGTTTATAACAAATTTATTTAACTGTCAGTTATGTTTATTTATTAAAATCTATATACCAATTACAGCTTAAATTACTTCTTTTAATTATAATATTATTAATAAAGGGATAATAATCAGGACACAGTGGTTTTCATTTTTATTTTACATTAAAACATAACAATAATACTCTATTTTTAAAGTTACGTTATAATATAGTACAGTACAACAAAATAGCTCACTTATTTTGGTGTTATTAAATCATCTGGTGACCTCAGACGGTAGTTTCGCTCCCGTTGTCCGTGTAGAAGTCATTTCTGTGCTCCAACGTCTTTAGATTCCTCGCTTTGTCAACCTGTAATATTTGATATTTTATCAAAATGTGTGATTTTTACTTGCTTAAGGCATTTCCTACCAGGCATGCCACTCATATCTCAGGTATTTTGAAGGTAGTGAATGTGATGGGGTTTTTTTTTCATTCGACCAAAATAACTTTCATCGAACAGTTGTTAACTATGGTCTAAAGCTGAACCATCCCTGGTGAAAATAAAAGTTAAAGTGGTTTAGTATACGAAATTTTTGACATCAGCATGACTAAAAAGGAACAGAGCGATGTATTTAATAGGCTCATGCAAATTTAAGTAGATAATTATTTTAGAGGAAATAAAATGCGGTCATTTTGGGGTACATGATTATATTGTAATGAGAATAGTTGTCATATTTGGTTTCGGAATCATCAATCTTATCTTATGTTGATGGTTTGCAGTATTTTTACTAGATTTATTTTTTAAACTCTAAGAATGGATGAATGAAGCTATCACCGAATTTCTATAAAACAACAAAAAGCTAAATTATAATCATAAAACTAGGATTATATTAATGAAACTAATATGCTGCATTGCAAAGAATTACACTTAGCAGAATCTAAAAAATGTTTATAAAATCAATAACTATACTCTTAACAGCAAAGAACAATTCCAGTTTAAGCCTGTACCATAGATTAGTTCTAGATGTTATGATTTGTAACCAAAAGCCTGCTGCATACGTTCAATTTGGATTTTCATTTCAGCTTATCATATGGAATTTTAAGTCAAATTGAATCTATGTGCAGGCATTAGGTTTTTTTAAGAAAACTTTTTAATCATTGTCAATAGCAAAAAACTACATAAACTGATGCTTATTTTAAGATGAAGAATGCTTACAGGAATAAAAACGGATCATGAAAACTTTCCAAGAAAAATTCTTTCATTGGTGAAGTGTTTATTTAAGGTATGGTGTAAGAAAGGACCGTGAACAGCTGTACCCAAAACACCCTCCAAAACCAGAAACCAAGAGACAGAAGAAGAGACATCAAACAAGCGTCAGCGGCGAAGCGGTAGAAGCTGCTGCGCTCTGGAGGGACAAACAGACTCTACTCACAATCAGAATCATCCCTTGTGTTAGGGGTCTGACCCCACCTTGATTGTCACCCTCCCATCATCCTCTTCCTGTTCCGCCATCGGAGCCAACCTCACTTTCTCTTCATCCGTCGCCGCCTCCTTCGACAATGACCTCTTCTTCAGTTTTATCCTGAAAATTATTAGTTTTTGGTGAAAATATAAAACTAAAAACGTTCAAACTATTTCTCACTCTACACACTAGGGAACCCCGGTTTAAGATGGCAAAGGTTTTATGGCACTGGGCAAATTGTAGGAGCGGCGACCATAAGAACAAAACGGTAAAAAACTTAACTTTCCATTAACCCAGGAAGGAAGGGTTAATTAATCAGGTGGTGACTGCTGACATCAAAGAAGTGACTGTTCCAACTTCTTTACTATCCTGCCTAGGATCTTTACTTCCTACTTCTTTCCACTTCTTTCTACTTCTTTCTTTTGTTTCTACTTCTTTACTATCTGTGTTCCACCTATCGTAGTGGAGGGAGGAATCCACCATTATAGTCTCTAGGTGCTTAAATTCGTCCTTGACATTAGACAGTTTTGCACTGTGTGCAAATATGTTGCATTCAGCACTGGACCGCCGACCAGGTCAACCCAGTCTTTGAGCTCATTGTTTCATTTCTCAGTAGCAGATCTGACTCATTGACATTGTATTGTATTGAGAAAATTAATTTCCAATAGTTAAAAGAAATTGCAAACAGTAAAGAATACGCAACTTACAATTTTTGGCAAGTAATCAAACAAATCAAACAGAATAAAGAAATTTCTTCATGTACATAAACATATGTTAACTCATCACCACTTTCCCATAACTTGAAATCCATTATCACAAACATCAAAATAGATATTTTCCTACAGTCACCCGACAAAGTTGGCTTCCTTGTACTGTTTATAGTACAGAAAGCTGCTAATTGCTGCATATTT